ATAGCTAGTTGTACTCTTGTGAAATAGATATAATATTATAACTATCTGAATAAAGCTCATACCAATAGCCTAAGTGGTTATCTTAATATTAAAAAAAAAAAAATAAAAAATAAAAAAAAAATATATATATATATATATATAATATATTACAATAAAAATTTATATAAATTTTGTTATAACTTCTAAATAATTGATAATTATTGCTAATTTAAACATAATTATCTATTTAAATATTTAGTCAAATTTAAAATTTGAATATATATTTTTTTAAGGTATTAAGGTGATCTCTATGCCCAGAGACTTTTTATTAGACTTATTAATTTTAGATTATATAGTTACAACGAGGGTACATTAAGCTATATATGTACTTTTGATATCTAATTTAAATAGTTTGCCTGGGTTCTATGCTAGCCACTATACCTGCAATTTAACTAGGAGATTACCTATTTAAGCTCTCTGATTATTACTATATAATAAGAGTACGACTAGCTATACATGCAACTTTTGATTATCTATTTAAGTAGTCTGTACTAGATTCTACACTAGCTACTGTATCTGCATTTCAACTATGGGGATACCCATTTAAACTCTTTGGTCACAACTGCTATCTGTTCTTAAACTAACCAAGGTGTAACTTACTATTCATATATAAATTTTGTAACACCTGTAGATTTCGCACCCACCTTAGGACTTACTAACTATAAATAGCTAATCTATTCATGAGGTAAACCTAACAGAGTAGTCCATATTCCACACATGTTTATATCTGCATGTTTAGTAATTTCTTTCTAATTAGTATCTGTTTTGCTGCTGTCACCAGGTTCGTATCTTAAGCTATTCTTTAGGATACTGCTATAACCTGATCTGTATCTCAAGCTACAACCTTCCTAATTAGTTTTCTATTATGTACTTCTTGCTCTTGTAAGGTTTGTACAATCTCAGTACTTGCATTCGGACTTTCCTTCTTCCTTGGATTCTTTACCAGTCTCTCCCTTACTTCTAGCTGGCAACTCAGAAGAGTTGGTTTGCCCAGGCTTTAGGTGCTTTACGGTCTTCCTTCTCTTGGTACATGCTTTCAGAGCGCATGTCTTTTTCCTCCAGTTGGTGACCCAGTGGTTTGGCTAGTGTATCACCTCACTTAAGAACCTGGTCGCTTGGTTCTCTAGTCTTAGTCTCCAATTCCAAATTCGGTTTTCCTATAGCACCATCAAAGATCATACTACCTCCCTACTCAGGATTTGCCAAATGGATTTTCAGTAATTCCAGTTTCCTGGGTTTATTGTGCCAAAGCTCTCATTCGAGATGGTGTGACCAAGATTACAGATATCTGGATCCAACTGATAATCTTAATGTTAACCGATACAAATCTAGTATTTTCAAAATCATCGTCCATGGGATTTGAACTTTAGACCTGCTGTCTGGAGGTGCAACAACTCCACCACTTTACTAAGTCACTACACCTTTTAGAATTTGAATATTTTGACAAAAATAATATTATATTAAAATATATTTTAATATTTAATTGTTTAATCATCTGACAATATTAACTATAATACAAGTATTTTATTTAAAATATTACAAGTAAAATTCAAACTCTATATTTTAATTACAAGTTGTTTGAAAATAACAACTTAACCGCTAAACTATATTACTATACCTCTTGTTAAAATATCTTTATTTAAATTGTATAATAATTTTAATTAAAGATATTTTGATTAAATTTAATAAACTTGTTTTTATTTTAATTTTTAAAAAAATTTATAATTTCTGTTATAACAATATATTACTATTTTTAAAACTTAATTGTCAAACCCTACTTATAATTAGTAATTATTATTATATTGCTAATTATAAATGGGGTTGAATATTGAAACTCTAGCATCACACAATATACTTTTGAAATTTTGACTTTTAGATTTTGACAGATCCCGAGGTATTAATACATCACTATGGCAGTAAATTACAAAGTTCTTTTAAAAATCTGTAGATTTTAAAAAAAATTTATTAAATTTAATCAGGTGGGTGTTGAGATGTCTTCAATTAAATGGTTTACAACAATCTTTAACATAGCTTTTATTAATCAAAATTTCTAAAGATATCTCGATACCACCTGATCAATTTTTTTTTTATTTTAATTTTAGAATCTAGAATTAAAAAAAAAAGAAGTTCATCGAATTTGACCAGGTGGGTGTCAAGATGTTTTCGATCAAAATTTTATAACAACCTTCAACGCAGCTTCTATTATACTAGTAGACGTTTAAAATTTACAAAACTTTGATTGAAGATATCTCTACACCCACCTGACAAATTTATTGAACTTTTTTTTAAAAAAAAAACCTTCTACAGTCTTAAAATAAAAAAAAGTTTATCGAATTTGGTCAGGTGGATGTTTGAGATATCTTCGATCAAAGTTTCACAATCTTTAACGTGACTTCTATTTGTTCAAAATACTCGAAGATTTCTTGACACCACCTGACCAAATTCGATAATTGTAGAAATTTGTAGAATTTAAATAAAAAAAAAAAGTTTATCGAATTTGGTTAGGTGGATGTCGAGATACCTTCGATTAAAATTAAGAAAAAAATTAAAATGATCGGCGGCATGTGGCATTATCAAAAAACAGTTAAATTTTGACCGTTTGCACAATAGTATTTGTGGTTCTTTAGACCCATTAAATCGATATAATGATATATATATTCATCTGTAATTTATAACAATGATTATGAAATGCCGTTCATTTTAACTGTTACATATCAATTATATATCAGTGCTTTATTTGTATTATTATTAGGACTAACGGGCAGTTTAAGACGAAAAAAAATAAATTCATATCGGTTTTGTAGAAAAATGAATTTTTAAGAAAAAGTTGTAAGAAAATTTTAAGGTAATTAGTTAATTCTTCTATTTCTTCTATTTCATCGTTATAGATCTTTTTTACTCTGTAACAAACGAAATTGAATTATGTAAAAAACTGCATTACTGCATTAGCGCTAGTGTATACTTGTATATAGTATCAATATCGATATTACTTATTTATCAGTTATATAAATTATTACAAAATAGCAGGAGTTGTAAATTGAGCGTGATTTTATTGTACAAAGGGGGGAAAATGCATAGCTTATTTCTTTATGTCAAACGGGTTTTTTCCGGTTATACATTATATAATGATAAAATTACCAATCTTTAGAATCATTATTTTTTTTTAGAAGTTTTTTTTTTTTTTATGTTATTCTCCTTGCCTCATAAGTTCAAATCATGCAGATAAAGCGAAAATAATTTAGACTAAAGCAGAGTTTAAAGCTGTAATTATTAGAATAGAGTCATCCCACATTGTTATGAAAATCCGTTAAAATTTTTTAGTTTCGTTATTGTTTTACATATATATATGTAATTTCTAGGCTTCATTTATAAAAAATTTTTAGAATATAAATTTTATAGAATTATTCGGATCAAATTTATAAACATACAGCACATCATTACATTATTAGATCAAAAAATTCTCATATTTTATTGTCATCTTTTCAGACGTTTCCAGAGTAACCTTCGAAAACACGAACATATCGCCTAGACAACATGGATTCAGAAACTGCCTACACTCCACCTTTAGAGGACGCCAACGCTTCCAATAATATTATTCATTTAAATAATTATACTATTAATGAAAGGGATGTTGCAAGAATGGTTCATTCCAGTTTATATTCACGAAAAACGACGACTCAAAGGCATGTTGTTGAAGCCTATTTTGATGCAAATGCTGGTACATATAAAAGTATAATAATTTTGATGGTTAAAATATTTTTTGTCAAGTAATTATTAATGAGATATCTAACATATATTATCATATGAGTTAGTTTTCGAGAATCCTTTCCTTATGGTGGAATCTCATAATGAAATAATCAATCTCTTCCTATTAGTATCAACTTTTTTTTTCGCCATAACACCCGAAATCCATAGTATTACCGATTCGACAGTAGCTGGTAATCATCACATAGTTTGCATTGACTCTATAGTCAAATATCGGCTTCCTTTACGATTTCCTCCGGTTCCATGTTTATTGAAATTCATTTTACGAAGGAATAATAATTTATTTTACACGTGTAATAATGAAATTAGTTTAAGAATTATCTCTAAATTTGAATTTAATGAACAACATAAAATTGTTAGACATGAGGATATTTGGAGTATTAAGGATTTGATAGAGTCATTGCCGTTAATTGGATGGTTATACGCAGATGTTGGTAGAAAGGCTACAGGATTAGTAACTGATGGTTTGGTTAATTTAACTCAAGAAATGGTCAAGGCTTGGAACAATTGGGAGATTTAAACTATGTGTTGTAATTTTTTTTATAGACGAAAGATGTTGTATTTTTCTTTATTTTTTTTTGATTATGAAAGAATCTTTGTGTTAACTTTACGTATATATAAATATAGTATATGTTTATTAGAATTATTTTATATATTATTATATTATTTACAATATTATTTTAGAAAGCTTTTTATATATATATATACACATATATATATATTATATAGAATAAATATTTTTTTGTACAAAACAATTTAAAAAATTTTCTTTTAATATGAGCAATACAGTTACTTGCGTTAATGTTAATTAATTATCAAACTTTTTGCATAAATAAAAGCCGTTATTTAAATAGCACTTGATGATAGAATTATCATTTATAAACATTTTAATTGAATCGCTTTTTTTTTTTTTTTTTGAGAATGAAATTGATAACGAAAATATGATTTAAAGCAACAATTCAAGAAATAGTAATTGATATCTAATGCATTTTTGGCAAACGTTAATTGTATCTTTGATTAATAATTGGGTACTTAAAACGAGGGATAAACATGTATTGTAAACTGTTTCAATACTTTAAAAAAAAAAAAAAAAAATTAAACATATCAAAGTGTTTATAACGTTGACATTATATTGTAAAAATAATAGCTAAAGTACTTTATGTATATTAGCAGTTAGTTTATTAATTAAAGAAGATTTAACAACATCTTACAAGTTGTACTGAATATAATTCCTACATAAATAATTCGAAAACAATTTTTAAATAGAGAAATAAAATAATTTATTAAATTATATATACTATATAAAAGTCATACCATTGATTTAATCCATAATGAGATTTCGTTTTCTTCTAAATTAGTGTATCTTCTCAATTCAGTTTTAACGTTAGAATTTTCTTGAACAAAAATTTTAGTTGGTACTTTAAACTTTAACCATCCTTTATTTGATAAGTTCTCAATCTCGTAAGGTCTTGGTTTATAAGCATAATTTATTGTCTTTTTCCAATCCTACAAATACAGTAATAAATTTAATTAACCTTTGTTATAAGTATTTAGCGTAATCAAAAATTATTAACTAGACTAAGTCGACAAATTTTTCAATTCTTCGTATAGCGATAGCATTTGAGTAGATTCTCGATTTTGAGCGATACCTATTTTTGCATCTCCTAGTTCTTGGTTAGGAAATCATTAAAATTGACTTAGTCAATAACCAACAGGTCAGAATACGTGTTCCATAAAACAGTATAAGACATTTTGTTATCTATTATATATACATTAGTATCGAAGCAGATTATATACAATTTTACGTATACGTACGTATATATTATATATATATATATATATATATATTTAATAATATTACGAGCCATTAGGCATTAGTACTGTACATACGTATACAGGATTATGTAACATCTCAATAAATCATGTGATAAAAATTAACTCGAATTTGAATTATCTGCTTGACTACAATCATTACCGCTATTTGTTAATAATAACACATGTAATAAATAAAAATAATACTTACTTTATCTGAAACTTTTGTAATGAATTTAAAATTTTGACCGTTTTTTAGTGAACCAATTTTAATTTCCCATACCATTTGGTAAATGCCTGGCATAAGTGTACCGAATATTGCGTGTACCTGTTTTTTTTTATAGTTTAGTTAAATATATATATTATATTTAAAAATAATGGCAAAAATCCTACATCAAAATAAGGCATTGTCGTCTTGATTATTTTAGGATGTAAGCCATCACTATATATTAAATAATATATTTATTGAATTAATATTATAAGGATCCAAACCACGCATATAAAGAATTTAAATAAACATATACTGTATTTACCTTTCATTTTTTGTCCAACACGGAGGAATCATGAGACTGAATTGCGGTTGTTCAGCAAAGATTATTGTTGAATTTTTCTTGTCTGATTAAATTTTTTAATTTATTTACGTTAAATTATTGATAAAAAACTTTATTGTATTTAAATACTGTAATTTGTAAAAAAAAATAACTTACCAATTTCTTTCCAGAGATTAAACCAATTATTATTATTCAAACTTATATCTTTTCCTTCATAATTCATCCGTATGATATCATTAGGAAATTCTCGAAAACAAATTTTACGCCATAATAAATTATCTTTGGTTTGAGATCGAATCGATTTGTTAACCTTTTTTTATGATATTAATAGTTCGACGAAATCAAAATCTTGCACTTTTTTATGCGTGATAAATTTTCACTAACTTCTATTTACATATAGTATCATACAGTATCATACAGTATCATACAGTATAATATTAAGAACATACATACCATCGAAAGCATTACGAGATCATACCCATCTAAATTTAACATGATTAATATCATGATTTCTTGAGGAATATTATTGAAACAATTAGAATATGTTTTTTCTTTTTTTGAAAAGTTGTAAAGGCGCCAAAAAAAGTTTCGCATATCCTAGTTTCAAATGTTGAAATATACTGTAGTAATAAACAAAAATTCAGGACGTGATGTGTGTATGCATTTCAGACAAATTTTCTCATGATTCAGATTATTAAATATTTGTAAATTTTATTTTTTTGAAAAAAAAAAAAAAAAAAAAATTAAAAAAATTAAAAGTCGGGCATATGAAAAACAATTAACTTGCATGATCTTATATAAGCTGAATTACTATTAACTCTAAAGTTAATAAAAACAAATTGAAGATCTTGATTTTACTACATTTGTTTAGTATTTACTGAAAATGAAATGATCGATAATTCGTGTTACATATTTCAACCATGTGGATCTGCGTTTATAAATGAGACATTAAACGAACCTATAAAATTCATTTTCGCGTTTTTTTGAGTCATTGTGTCAACGAATTATCAAAGTCGGTTGGTTGGTCTTTTCACCAACATGCGTGATCTATATAAATTAAATCGATACAGTATATTCGTATCTAATTAATCATACAGTGAATATGACAGTATAACTATAACGATAAATAATTTGATCATCCGATATTGATACTAATATCGATATCCATATTGATTGAAGTATATATAACGATAACCCAAAAGCATTTTTACAAATAGCAGGTAACACAAATTTATTTAATAATCTAAACTCGCACTTAATAGATTCCAGAATATTAATATCGTTCGTTAATACCGTAATATCATTAGGGTCGAATATATATACAAAGACTAATATTCAGTTTGAAGAAAATATTATTTAATTAGCGATGCCAGATAATTAAAATATTTTAAAACTATAGATTAATGTTTACAGTACGTAACTTTATCATAGTATCTGGTATCTGGTATTGGAAGTAATTAATACTGTAACGACAACGACAACGAAAACGACATCGAAATTGGGTTCATAAGATCAATACAAATTTTTTTTAGCATTAATTAAACTGAGTATAACAAACGATAAAAAAGAATATTTTTCCTCACCTTTTTTTTTTTTTTTTTTTTTGATAAAAAAGAATATTTTTCCTCACCTTTTTTTTTTTTTGTTAACATTGATTAAAGTTATCATAAAAATAATAAAAAGATTTGTATGCAAATAGAAGATTTGATTAACAAATTCATTGCCTATATGTCTGGACATATTTCCACAAAAAAATACATCAAAAACAATTGATTTTAAAATATGGTTTCCAATAGTCATAGTATTAAGCTCACCCAAAGAAAAAAATAAAAATAAAAATAAAACCTATGTCCACGATGAATTCTCACTTTTCTTCTCGTTAAACCCTTTTTTTTTATCCCATGCACCCCTTTTTTCCCTATATCCTCTTTTATTCCCTTCTCTAGATGCCGCTGAACCTTTTCCATCAAAATAATTCTGTTGACTTCCATCATTACTCACCGTTTCATTATCAAATTTCTTAACATTTTCTTTTCTATCTTCTATATTATGAGTCGAATAATCCTTCTCATTTTGATCATCCCAAGTTATCAAATCATTCAATTCATCGTCAATCGTAATTTTATCATTATTCGATTCTTTTTTCATTGCAATATCTCTATACATCAGATCAATGATTTCTTGTTTATGTTCAATTTCTCTCATTCTTTGATCATGAAGTGCTGAACTAATTTGTTTATGTCGTCGTTCAAGTTCATTCAAAGTTTGTTCGTTAAGTTCAATCACTTGATCAGTAATTTGAATATATTCTTGAAGTTTTTTATCATCTATTCGGTGACTTAATTCTAATTCTCGACAATTAGTCAAGAGTGTATCGTAATCCTGAACTTATAATAATAAATTAAAAAAAATTTTTTAAAATCATTATATAACTTAATCGAATAGATAAAAACAAAAAAAAAGTACCAACCAAATGCTTCAATAAGCTCATTAGAAAGGACAACAGTTGGTACACCAGTTTTACGAGACTTCAAGATCCTATTATAAACCATATCTCTATAAGATTTTCCATCTTCACCGGAAGGTTGTAATTTTAAATTTGAAAAATTATCGGTCATTGAATGAATTATTATCTTCGTATCGTGACCTACTGTATCCGGTGATTTTTTCTATTATTGTGAACTATATATTGTTTTTTATAGTTGGATTATTAAAATTTGAGTACTATGTCTTTCTTTTCCACTTTAGTTAGACAGAATTTTTGTAGAAAAACCTTTTTGTGCGAAAAAAAAAAGAACCACGGCTTAGAAATTTAAGGATATTCTGCAATTTAGGATAAAGCATGAATTAAAACAAGTTTTGTAAATCACAAGGATTTTATCTTTGCTTGAGATCTGCAAGTTACATGAATATATAAAGATGAATTTGGTTCGAAGTTTCGAAAGTTTTTTTTTTGAAAAAAAAATAAAAAAATTTTTTTTTGCTGTTACGAAATTTAATGGGAAAAAAGTTGATCAATATGTATTTATAAAGGCAATGATAAGAAAAAAAAAAAATTCACATATATCCGACAGATCTTATAGGTGGAAAATCTCATTTATTTAAAGAAAATATGTAATATTTACATAATATTACTTTGACATAATATTATCGTTATATCGAACGATTTAAATTTAGTTTCCTCTACTACCTGTGAAATTTACGAAACTGCTATACATATGTACTCACCTGACAAAATGCGTTTAAATAGAGAAAAAAGAATAAAAGAATTTTGAGTCTTCTAAAATTCTTAATCAGAATAACGTTAAGAAAAGTGTGAAGATCCTGCCTTTTATTTCTTTATTAGGATCTTAATCGACACTCTTCCATAAAAGTATAATCTATTTAAAAAAAAACTAAATACGTATATGCACATCATAAAACATTCTTGATAACTACCAGTATTAACAGTATTAACAGTATTAACAGTATTAACGTTAAAGGGTTTGGGTCAAATCTTGATAAACAGAACCCTGACAGGGCCAGGATTAGCATTAATGTTGGTCAATTTTTTAGGAATTACGATAGGGATTTTGACCCAAATCCACGTAAGTAAATACGTGTTTATGGTAAATATTATCGTTCATTTGCGTATCGTTATTGATTATCCACTTACTGACTTATCATTTATATAAATTTATCTAAAGAATGAACCGATTATCGTTTCAAACAATTTCAGGAAAAAAGAACAAGCCGACGATATTGATATACAGGTACTCCCCATGTTACGTAGAAAATACACAAAAAAAAAAGTTACCTTATCTAGTAATAAAAAAAAAAATAATATTTTTTTAATGTTTTTTTTTATAGAGATTCAACATACAAATTTTCATATCAATATATCAATATGAGAATACAACTTCCAGAATGTCTTGTAACAATGATCAAAAGTAGTTCAAAATGTTTTTTTTTTTTTTCTTTTTTGAACAAAAAAATAAAGATAAAAACCAGATATGCAGTATTAAAATGCTCTATGTTTTCACAAAATGTCACTAAACCCAACAACCATTAATCCAGATTAAATAAACAAATAAGTAAATAAATAAAACTAAAACTAAAAATTAAATAAAATTTAAAGAAAAAAAAAAAAAAAAAGAAAAAAACAAAGGTACAAGCATTCCATTTTCAATCAGTTAATCAAAAATTGATGCATGTTTCTTCGTCACTAGAACTATTAATTCCCTCACTTTCATCGCCATCAATATCTACATACTCGTCTTTTAATACAAAGAACGGTCTAGTTCTAGAAAGGTTTGTTTCCCGTCTCAACACCAAATCTTTCATTATCAACATTCGATCTTTTATAGTTTTCACATCTTTTTCACGTAACGTATACTCATTACCATCAATACTATTTCCTTTTACTATACTCCACGTTCTCGGCATTTCTTCCGCGCCACCTTTATTATTCTTTCGTCTAGAACCGGAATTCCTTCCAAATACCAC